CCCCCCCGCTGCTCTCTTCCATAGCCAAGCTAATAAAAATGGAAAGCACTAAGAAATTCCAGCAGAGGGGAGGTGCAAAGGGAAGATCCCACTCATTTAAACCTATCCTAAGCAGAAGATAATTAGGCACATATATCCCATAAAGAATAGCAACAGTATATGCAATTATTGGGAATGCACACTTTAAGAGCATTTGCCAAAAATGCCTGCTTTTATTAAAAAGGAATGGTTTCACAAAGGCCCAACTGTAAGAAAGGTTGTAATTTGCCCAAATAAAACTTAATTTGATCCATGAAATAGCTGTGGTTTATTGTGTAATATATGTGCTATGTGTTTTAATTTAATAGAATTCAATATAATTGTAAGCCAGTTGAGTTTCAGAGCAATTTTGGGTTGTTCCCACAGTGTGCAGAGCACAGATGCCACTTTGTGCATCACACCAGCACATCCATAAATCAGGAATATAGGAAGGATTATCCACAAAGCAGCAAGTAATGCTTCATCACGCTCCAGACAGAAAATAAGACCTTTGAGGGGAGCAGAAGGAGTTATTCACAGGAAATAACTCGGGATGCTCTGCACTCAGCCAGGCTCCTGGATGCAGTTTTGGGGTGTAGGTATCACCCAGTGATGCCATGGGCCCCCCTGCAGAGCCCCCAGCCCACCCCAGCTGAGGGCAGATGGAGGTGAATCTTTATTTTTGCTTTCTAGGAAGGTCTGCTGGACACTCACAAGAGCAGATCCTGCTCTCCCCACCAGGCAGCTCCTGCTCCCAAAGCTCAGGACACACTGAGGGGAAGTACAGCACCTCCCCAGCACAGCTCTGCAGCATTTCCCACCTCCCATTTCCTCCAAAGCCAAGCTTAAACCAGCCAGGGAGCAGCACATTCACCACCAGCCTCCCCCAAGCCCCCTGCCATGCCCTGCACCAGCTCCCTCCATAAGGCATGGGATGGATAGCAGAGAAACATTTGATTTTTTTTGTCCTGGTGTTTGTCAGAGAAAGCCCCACAACCCCCCTCTGGCTCCTGAGGCTCACCCCACACCCCTGAGAGGCACCAGCAGCTCCATCCTCTGAGCCAGCACCACCCTGGCAGCTGTTAAAGCTCTTCCTCCACATCAGTGCCACCCCAGAGCAGGCAGAGCCCCAGCCTGGAGCACCCAGGGCTTTGGGAAGCACAGGTTTGTGTGTGAGCAGCTCTGCTAAATGCATTAACCCACATCCCAAAGAGCTGGAGACCTTCCACCGCTCACAGCCCACGAAGCCAAGCAGCATCACACCCCAAACCAAACCTCAGCTCCCTTCTCTGCACCAACAGGGATTTTTGTCTTTTCCCTTGGTAGCCCACACAGAGCCCTGAATTTGAATTCCAGCTATGAATTAGGCACTGAACAAGCCCCTCCACTTTCACTGTGGAGATAAAGCCCTGAGAAGGAGGATTATGGCCCAAAGACTGGCAGCCCCCATAAAACTGTGGCTAGACCTGTGCCACAAAGGGTCTCAGCCTCTCTTTTTAAGTAGAGTTGAGAGTGGATGAATTTAGCAATAATTTCTTTTCCATTCTGGCTGCTGAAAAGCATTTCTCAGTCATAGCAGCAATGCAGTCAAGGACTGGGATGATGAATGTCTGCTCACAGGAGGAGCAGCAGCCTCTGGGACCCACCAGCAGCAACTGGCTGCTCCTCCCCAGCCCAGTGCACACTTTAAAACCCATTATTGCTGAATTAAGAGGATCCTGTCAAATAAACACAGTCCACACACCAAAGCCTGAAAGGACTCAGGTCCAATATGAGAACTACTAATTCAGGGCTTCCACTGGAGTGGACTTGGGGCACACTTGTAACTCCAGGAGAACCCAGCTGATGCCTCCAGCCAAGCCTTGGCACTCACAGGAAAAACTGTCCAGTGAATTTCACTGCTCAAGCTTCAGCTCAGAACATGTCCCTGTCCCCCCAGCCCTCAGGGGAGGCACGGCACCCACACCAGGCTGTGCTGCAGCATGGAGAGCCCACTGCTCCCTGCCAGGGCTGCGCTGGGGCGGCTCCACCTGAGCAGCCGCTGCCTTGAGGACACCTGGAGGGTGACAGTCACACGCTGAGGCACCAAACCCACCCCAAACAGCCCCATCCTGCAATGAAACCATCCCCTCTCACCCTCAAACCAGAGGGGCTCGGGGCAGTGCCCAGCCGGCCCCTCAGCACCAGGACAAAGCTGTGTTTGCTCCGGGATCCCTGCCCGGGCCTGAGGGCGCTGCACACCCAGCCTGGGCACCACAACAGCAGAGGCTCTGCGTGTTCCAGCGCTGCTGCAGGGAAAAAAACCCCTCATTTCCCCACGGCCCTGCCCAAAACAAGCCCCTGGTGATCCGTAACCACAGCGGTGAGCCAAGAGCCTCCTCAGACAAAGCTGAGCAGCTCCAGCTCAAAAGGTGCCACAGAGGCCCACAGACCAGCCCAAGCACGGGCCAGCACCCTCCTGTGAGGGGGCTCCTCAATTTCTACCCTTAAAATGCTCCAGCACCACACAGACCCAACAACAGGGAACATTCCACTTACCTTGGGTGGTAGGAGAACACAATTCCTGCAGGAAAAAAGGAAAATCCCACTCAGAGAAGCTCAGGAGGCTGCTCAGAAAGGAACAAAGCCGTGACCATCCTGCTTTTATAGGGCTGGGGCAGCCAGCGCAGCTGTGGGAGCTGCACAGCAGAATCCCATCAGCTCCTCTCCCAGCCCCAACCGTGCCCAGCTGCTCCTGCAAACCTGGCAGGAATCACCTCCTCTTTGCCCTCGGGGGTGCCCTCCACCACAGCCACCCCCGGGGACAATTCCCGGTCCAAGCCTGCTGCAGGGAAGGCTCCAGCTGAGCTCTGAGAGGGTCCAGTGTGCAGCTCAACGGCTTTGAAGTCCTAAAGCTCCTCTGAAGAGTTCTAACTTTCAATGATTATAAGGTACTAAAGGGGCAAAACGACACAGAAAAGGATACTTGATGTCTTATTTTGTTGCCTCACCATAAAATCCTTTTTTATTCCCTTTAAAGCCCCGCTGTCAACTGAAATAAAACTCCAGATTTATTCCTGGGGAAGCGAATGAGTAATGAAAAAAAGGAGAATTAAGCACCATCAGTGGATTGCACAAGGGAAAGCCCAGACTTAACCCTCAAATCCATCCATGGTGCTGTTTTGTCCAAAATTATGGATGAAGGGGGTAGAAAGTGGAAAATGGTGGCACTGCTGCATGAGGAGAACAGGGAGCAAAGGTGTGAATGTGGTGGTGGAAAATGCTGGGAACATTAAAAGGAAACAAGGGAAAGCAATTTTTGCTGGTGCTTCCCAGGTAAAATGAGGACAGTATTGAGAAAAATCTCTTTTAAAAGCCCCCAAAACATAAAAATGGCCTCTTGATAGACTGTGTGAAAGCGATACAGCAAGAGAGGTGGGTAGTTTGGCAGGACCCACCAAACCTAAGCCAAAGGGATAAAAAAACCCCTGCAAAGCTCTTGAAAGCTGCTTTAAATGAGAGTGACATGTTTTGACACTGTTCCCTAAGAATGGCTGTAACACAAACAAAAATTAATGATGTCAAGTATTAATACTGATGCTGCAGGAATTCAACCAATGTGGTCCCAATTAAACATCAAATATGGTTATAATTTGAAAAACGACTGCGGGAATGTCATTGCAACATTCCCTGCTCAGATCTCTCCAGCATCCACCCAGGTTCCTGTGTTCCCCTGTGGGATGCAGCCCCCACCTTCCTCCATCCCTGGAAGTGTCCAGGGCCAGGCTGGACGGGGCTTGGAGCACCCTGGGGTGGTGGAAGGTGTGCAACAAGATGAGATTTCAGGTCTCCTCCAACCCAAACCATTGCAGGACTCCACGATTCTGTGATTCCCCATCCTCACTCGTGGCTGTGGCAGGAACATCAGGGCCAGGTGCCAAAATGCAGGACCCTGACGTGCACCAGGAGGGCTTTTGAGTGGTAAATTTTACTCTTTAAAGGTCTCATTGCATCTTTTTCTCTGCAAATATGAAGGTGACAGAAACATCCTCTGCAACCTTGAAAGCTTCCCAGTCACTGGGCTCCAGAGGCTGGGGTTTTATGGAAATCAAAGGCAGAGATTGGAATTGCAGCAGAACTCCAGGACTTGGCAGAGCTGCTCCCTGGCAATAAATAACTTCCCTGACCAAGCAAAGCCCGTGTCCAACCTGCCCCTGCCAGGCCCAGCACAAGTCAGAGCAAAGGAGCTGATTTTATCCAGGATTTCCAGGCAGAGTAAATCAGCCGAGACAGGCACATCTGACCAGGACATTTTTTTGGCTGCAGCTGCTCCTCAGAGTAAATATATTCTTCCCAAACACTCCTGGATCATTTATTGCCTGGATGACACACTGGGAGATCTACAGGACAAAGCTGCTCATGGCTCCTCCGAGGCACTGGAGACGTTCCCAAAATCCAGGCCATGCTCCAGTGGAGGATCCACCCAACCATGAGTTGTCCAAAACCTCCATTTGTTTCTCAACCATCAAACACGTCTGGGACGTGCAGGGCTCACAGACAACCCCTGGGAAAGGCCAAAAACCCAAACTGGTCCTGCTGGGCAGCTTTGTGGCCATGCAATATTCTGCTTTTCTCCAAGACCTACTGATTAGCACTGCTGATGATTAATCTGCACAACGTGGATGTCCACCCTCATCCTCACCATGTTCTGTGTTACCACAGAGGTCAGACAGCCCTGAGTGAGAAGAGCTAGAGATCTTCCTCTCACCTCCTCCCAGTGCTCCCTGCCTCGCTCACCCTCCTCTTGGAGCCAGCTGCAGCCTTCCAACTCATTTATTGCTTTTCCAGGGTCCTGGCTGAGATGGGAGACAGCAGCTGCCCCCCGAACCCCCCTGCCTGCTGCCAACTTCAGCTGGGGGGGGAAGAAAAAAGACAAATCCCCCCCCATAATGCGAATACTTTATTATCAATGAGTGACTGGTATTAGCTTTTTGTCTGGGTATTAATAATATTTCAAAAAACCATACATCAAAATTAGGGCTTTCTCCTATTTTTGCTGTATAATTTTTGTTGTTTTTTTTTCTTTTTTTTAAAAATCTGTATTGAAAGAATTATATAAGCCAAAGTGCATTTTCTGTTTTTTGTCCATATACACATTGCACCATACATAAATAATTACATTGTAAAAATGACTCCATAATTACAAGTATAATATATATTTTCATATAATATATAAAACTTTATATTAAATCTAGGTAGATGATATTTGGGATAGTCTGTGTCTTTTTTTTTTTTTCTTTTTTTTTTCTTTTTGTGTGTGTGTGTTTTGCTGTTGCTGTTGCTGCTTTCCTTTCGTGGGAGGCTGACTGTTACCGGTTGTTGCTGAGTAAGATCTCCAGCCAACACGGACACGACGTGATGAACTGTCTGGAATAACAGGGCCCCCAGCCCTTGGCGAAGCTGATCCGGACGCTGTTGGGGTCGTAGGGCCCGTCTGCATAATCCAGCTCGGCCGTGTGCTGCAGCAGGCAGGACTTCTCGTAGTCAAACACCTTGATGGAGTAGCCCGGCATCACCTTGCGCACGATCAGAGTCCTACAGTTGGGGATGTCCAGTGTCGGGGAGTTGACGAAGATGGGATGCTCGCTGCGGTTGTAGGCCCACACCCCGTCCGGTTCCTTGCTCAGTAAAATCCCGTAGCCGATTTTACTTCGAGTCCTTCTCACAGTCTCGCTCCTGTTGTCCAGGTTTAGCTGTCCGAGGCAGAAGCCGTTTCCTTGAGGTAGGTCGTAGAAGATACTGACAGACTGTTCGTACACTGTGTAGAGGCGGCCCACGCGCGTCCGGTGCTCCCAGTAGGCCACGTTGCACCAATGGCTCCTCTTCACGGCATCGGGCGACGTGCTAGCGTCTGTGGGGACAGAGAGGGAGTCAGGAGTGCTGGGATCACCTGGGAAACCACAGCGCTGGAGCCTGGGAAACAGCTCCTCCCACCCATCAGCTCTGCTCAGCGAGAGCTTGAACTTGTGCTCAACCCAGCCCTTGCGTCCAACACAAACTTCATGTTCAACCCAAAGACGGTGCTCAACCCAAAACTTGTGTTCAACACAAATTTCATGCTCTTCCCAAATCTGTGTTCAACCCAAAGATGGCGTTCAACCCAAAACTTGCGTTCAAAACAAACTTCGTGTTCAACCCCATATTTGTGTTCAACCCAAACTTGTATTTAACCCAAAATTTGCGTTCACTTCCAAAGTTCTGTTTAACCCAAAGTTTGTGCTCAACCCTGAAATGTGTGCTCAACCCAAAGTCCATCTTCAACCCAAAGCTTGCGCTCAGCCCAAATCCTGTCTTCAATTACATCAAATGCCAGCAAGACTGGCAGCTCAAGCCCAGGCTGGAGACAGGACACCCACCATCTCCCATGAGCTCAGCACATCTCCCTCTCCAATTTAATGTCCAACCCTGCATCCACAGCTGGGCCCACGTGTCCTCAGGATATCTGCATTCCTCCCACTGGATCTGGCATGGACACTGTCCTGCTATCCTGAGCCTGGTGGCCCCCCAGCACCCCTGTGCTCCTGCAGCCCCACCTTCCAAGCCCAACTTGTGCCCAGCTGACCCCAGGGATGTCCAGGACGTGCCTGGATGAGTGACCCGCCAGGGTCTCCTCCGTGTAATATTCTCTGACAGCGACGCTGATGTTCCCACGGGGAACATGAAATCTGAGGAAGTGTTTCATGCCAAGGGGGAGTAGCTGCTATGAACTATACATGTCCTTCTAAAAACCCACTGGAGCTCTCTCCAGACAATGAGAGACGTCTCTTCTTTCTAGGAATTACACTCAGGGAAGACGGGAGGGACGCGGGCTGCCAGAAATCTGTTTAATCTATGATGCCTCCAGAATTTATGATCTCTCCAGAAGGAAGACAGGAAAAAGAAGGAGCCCCAAAGAGGGCGAATTAACCACTTGCTGAACATCATTCCTGCTCCTACCTCACCGGTTAACGGAAAACCGCCGTGGAATTTCCAGCAAGGAGCTCTGCTCCGGGCCAGCATTAAGCTCCCTGACAGTCCCTCACGTGCCCGCGGCCTGCTGACCCCGGTGCCTCCGTGCCATCATGTCCCATTAACTCGCCCGCGGGGTGATGCCATTATTTTGCTCCAGAGCCCCCATTGACACACCGGATTTCAGGCACGGCCCTCCAGCCCCGCTTCTTTTCAGGCTCAAATTACCCCGGAGGAGACCGGGCTCCCCTCCCCATTAACCAGCTTTGAATTAAGCGGCTTTGTTGGAGTTTAACTGGAGTTGTAACTATACAAATTTAAGGGGAGGGCTGTGGGGGAGGAGGTGGCGGGGCAGGCGGGGAGGCAGCAGGATGCCCTTTGCTGTGGGCAGTGCTCATCAGCCTGAAGCAGCCCCTCCACCCACCACAGGTCACATTTTTGGGGGAACCATCTCAGTCTCTTCCCCTTCACCCACCACAGGTCACAATTTGGGGGGGACCATGTCAGTTTTTCCCCCTTCACGCACCACAGGCCACATTTTGGGGGGACCATCTCAGTCTCTTCCCCTTCACTGACCACAGATCACAGTTTTGGGGGAACCATGTCTGTTTTTCCCCCTTCAAGCACCACAGGTCACATTTTGGGGGACACCATCTCAGTCCATCCCCCTGCCATCAACTGGGACAACTTCCACTAAACCAGGGTGCTAAGAGGCCCATCCATCTTCCACAGCATCCAGCTTCCACAGTCACTTTTCCCCTGGGACATCCTACAGATGCTCCCAATGCCTTCCCAAAGCTCTCCCCAAACACTGAACTTTGCTGTTGTCCCACTCAAGTGATCTGGGGGCTGCACACCAGCTCAGGGCCTTTCATGTGCCGGGGCTGGAGGCTGGTAGCAATTACTGAGCTCTGCATCTGTTTAACCTCCCAACCTCCTCAAAGCCCTCCATGCCCATTAGCTATGTTGGTTTTGTTATTACATTTTTGAGAAACTACTGCTCAGCCCCTGCATTTCCCCTACAGATTAAGGATGGGACAACTTCAAACCTCCAGTGTCCCCAGCAGCTCCATTAATCAGGGGAACAGTCAGCAATAAACATTTAAATAGGAGTTTCTCATGGTTTAGTGCAAATTAATATACAAGGGGGGGAAAGTAAAGGTGGAGGAAAACAGTGCCTTATCCTACAAAAATATTTTGCTGGAGGTGCCAACAGCCCTGGTGCCATCTCTGCTTTCCAGGAACTGGGAAACATCTAAGCAAAATCATGCATGACAACAGGGGAAGGAATGCATTTCACATGCATGTGAAATAGATTTATTAAAAGCATTTCCATGCAACTTATGGCAGGAACCTCCCTCCATCCATCCATGAATGCAGCCCCTGCCTCATCTCTGTCACCCCACAGCCCCTGCCTGGCAGTGCCAGCTCTCAGCACTCCTGGAGGAGTCCTGCTCTCCTTCAAACAGGCGATGATGAGTTTCAGGTACTGCACCTCAAGAAGTGAGAAGTTTCCTTTCAACCCACTTCTTCTGGCCAAGGGAGAGGAAAGTCTTTAAAATCCATAAAAAAGCAACCCCCATGGAATTAGCCCCCTGGGAGGGGACAGCTCAAGGCTCATGTGAGCAGCCCCTGCCTGCAGGAAGCCGTCGCAGGGTCCCTCTCCCAGCGCTCCCCGTGCTGCGGTGGGCTCCTCTCCCTCCTTTTATCTCCCAGTGCACTCAACCAATTCCTGCAAAGATGAACTCATCCCGCAGGCCTGACATAAAACAAGCACTTCAGCAAGCCCCCAAATCAGGGGGGCCTGTGCTGTGTCTCATCCCCTGCCAAGTATTAGTTTCGCCTCCAGCTATTAGCCACTACCACTCTGCAGAGAGCAGGGGCGGCCGGCACCACCACCTCCTCCTCTGCCTTTTAAATAAATATTCCACTTTTCCCTCCTCTTTTTTTCCACGCTGCCCTTTATGCACAGACAAGAAAATCCACTTTTTGTTCTGTTTTTTTCCCCCCCTCCCACTTCTGCTGGAACAGAGGCCGGCTTGTTAGCGTTCTTTTTGAAGAAAGGAAAATATTTGAGTCCCGCAGTGGTACAGGAGGGGTTTTTAACAACTATCATTGTAGGCAGCTACAACTTGTAGCAGCTCCAGAGGGGCTGGCGTCAGGGCTATCTCCTCCATCAAAGCCACCTTCATCCATCAGATGGAGGGGCTGCAACTCTGCCTGGTGTTTACTCCCTCCTCCACTGCTGCTTCCTCCATGGCAGCAGACCCCAAAGTGAATTCAAACAATTAGAGATAAAGGAACAAGATAGGAGAATCCAACCCAGAATTTAAAGGGAAAAGGCTCCTGCGTGGCTCAGGCAAAAGGAATCTGGGTCTGGGAATAAATGCAGAGAGCAAACACTGTAAATCCTGCCAGCGTTAGCAGCACTGCTGCTGTCGCTCCCTGCAGAGTGTGGAGGTAAAGAAAATAACTTGAGGTTTGAGACTATTTGTGATTTGACAGCGTTTTATGCCAGTAAAGTTCAAAGGAGTGCTTTAAGAGAGAAAAGAAAGATGCTTTTTTCCAAAACAAAACGCTGCACAGTCCCACTGCTTGATGTTGCACTTGAAAGCAGGGTGGAAAACATGGGCAGATCACGAAGCACATGAAACAAACGGCTCTGATTCACTCTCTGGCTTTTCCAAAGCCACCAAACCTCCTCCCAGCAGGTCAAATGGCCCCCTCAATACATGGCTGCAAGGAAGAGCTTCTCAAAACACACTGAAGAGGTGCCCATAGGGAAGGACCACGCACATGAAAAATAAATCACTGCACTCTCCAGATGTGATGGGGACTTGAATGCACATCTGGGCAACCTGGAAATGAAGCAGAATATTCAAAAGTGCTCCCACCACAGAGCCCACTCCCCATTCCCATGCCCCTCCCTCCTGTACTCCTGTGTCACAGGGCAGCCTCACACTCCACTGGCATAGAGCTCAGTTACCCTTCCTCAACACCTTTCCCTTCACTTTTACTCCACTTTTGGAATATTAGACCCATGCTCAGTCTTTTTCCTCCCCCCTGCCACAGCACAGATCTGTATTTACACTGCCCAACACACAGGAGCAGGGAAGCAGGAAGGTGACAGCCACACACAGGTCACTGTGAACATGGTCCAGATAAAAAGCCCAGCACAAAGAACACACACATTTCCCCAAAATCTATTAACAGTTCACTGGGGAGCCATCAGTTAAAATAATCCCCCATTAATACCCCTGGAAACAAGCACAGGGTAAGGAAGGGGTTAAAAGTTTCCACAGCAGAAATGGAATTTTTATGGCCCTGCAAAAAAAAAAAAAAAAAAGGGAAAAAAAGGAAAAAAAAAGAAAAGAAATTAATTGTCAATCTGCCCCAGCAAAGCTCACAACCATTTTCTTTAAGCCAATATACTTAAAATACCTCTGCCATACAAGTCTCAGCTGGAATGCATCACTGTGCCCCCCAGAGCCCCCCTGCCATCAGCACCAACCCTGGCATGGCCCCCTGGGCTGGGGAGAGGCTGAGAGCTGTCCCCAGCACGGGGGCCCCTCAGGGGACACAAACCAGCCCCTTCTGGCTGCCCGTCCTCAGGGGAGCCGTGGGTGGCACCCTGAGGGCACCTCCAGGCCTTGGTGAGCCTGCCTTGGCCCCAGCAGGGCAGAGCCCCAGTGCTGGGCACACTGTGTGTACTGAGGGCAACATCCCAATCCCAGCAGGGAGCAGACACAGCAGGCTGGGCAGGAGCTTCTGCAGGTGAAAATCCTGGTGAGGACAGCAAAGTTCAGTCCCCATCCTTGGGGAACTGCTCCTTGGGTTCTCCAGGGAAGCTGCTGAGAGGAAAAGGCAGGTGGGTGCAAGCAGGACGTTGAGCAGCCCTGGTTC